AAAAAAAAAAATAAAAAAAAATATACCTGGAGTCAAGGGACCTGCTTTGAAGTTTCAGTTGTGCTGCTTGCTAGCTCTGTGTTTTTGTTACTGGTTCTCACAGTTGATGAGCATTAGCACCATCTATCTCCTTGGAAGTCCTGTTAATCACAGATTATTGGCCCCCACCCCAATTTCCAACTCAGTGGTTGGGGGCAGTGGGGGAGGACAGATGACAATTTGCATTTTTTTTTTTTCACTGGGGCTGGGTTTGAACCTGCTACCTCTGGTATATGGAGTCGGTACCCTACTCCTTTGAGCCACATGCACCGCCCTGCATTTTTTTTTTTTTTTAATTTTTATTGCTGAGGATTCTTTGAGTCTACACAGAATCAGGTTACATTGATTGCTTTTGTTAGATAAGGACCCTTGGACAATTTGCATTTCTAAGAAGTTCCCAGGTGTTATTGATGCTGCTGCTTCTCTGACACCCAGTTAGCTTTCCTCATCTGTAGGAGGATAGTAACATAGGTTCTGCTTGCTTCACAATGTTGTATAGTTCAGAAAGGACTTTGTTGTAATAAAAGAAATTATTGTCTATAACAACTATAAATGCCTTCCTCATTTAACAAAAAATATCATAGTTGGGCTGGGTGTGGTGGCTCATGCCTGTAATCCTAGATCTCTGGGAGGCCAAGGTGGGTGGATAGCCTGAGCTCACAGGTTCAAGACCACCCTGAGCCAGAGTGAGACCTTGTCTCTAAAAATAGCTGGGCATTGTGGCCAGCACCTATAATCCCAGCTACTTGGGAGGCTGAAGCAAGAGAATTGCTTAAGCCCAGGAGTTTGAGGTTGCTGTGAGCTGTGACACCATGGCACTCTACCAAGGGTGACAAATTAAGACTCTGTCTCAAAAAAAAAAGTTGTATTTGACTGTAAAGATATTTATGAGGCAGTAACACTTGCAGATTCAGCTCATATAGTATGAAGTATGTAATTACAGCGAGTAGACATTGGAACACAATGATGAAATCAGCTTTGGATGGCTTTTTTTTTGGTTGGTTGAAATGTTTTGAACTAGATTAAAAAGGAGATGGAAATTGTAAATTGGCGGTACAAAGCATATGTTTATCAAGGGGCTGCAGAGTGCAGCCCTGTTTAGGGAAGTCGCAGCTCCCCCTGCTGACATACCCATGCCTCTTTTTTATTGATACACTTCTCCCTGCTTAGAATGTCGTCTTTCCTTCTCTGTGTGAATACTATCCTCTCTTCATGTCTCAGTTCAAGTCCTGCTTTTTTCCATTATTTTTTCCTGCTGACTCTTGCCCATTTTTATTTTTTTGAGACATAGCCTTAAGCTATCTCCCTGGATAGAGTGCTGTGGCATCACAGCTCACAGCAACCTCCAACTCCTGGGCTCAAGCGAGTCTCCTGCCTCAGCCTCCCAAGTAGCTGGGACCACAGGCACCAGCCACAACACCCAGCTATTTTTTGGTTGCAGCTGTCGTTGTTATTTGGCGGGCCCGGGCTGGATTTGAACCCACCACCTTAGGTGTATATGGCTGGTGCCTTGGCCACTTGAGCCACAGGTGCCGAGCCCTCTTGCCCATTTTTGATGTCTTCCTACTTTTCTACTTTCCAAAAGTAGAAGTCTTTTCTACTTTCCAAAAGACTTCTAACATTTTTTAGATAATCATTTTTGTTTTACTTTAAAAAGTTTTTAGCTTATCTCATAAAATGTCAGTTTCCTGAAGTCAGGGGCTAAATCCTCTACTTGTATGTCCCTTAATCCTTAAGCATAGTGTTGGGGTTGTTTTAAGTACATAATAAATATTTGGGATTGTGACATTCTATCTATAAACTCTTGTAGTGTCTAAAAGAGCAAACTTGCCTTTCATTTTTGCCTTCTTGTGTTTTCTACTTAACTAGATACATAACTTTTCTTCTTTCTTGCAAAAAGCCTATGGAAATTGAGAAAATTCATTTCTCAGAGACTGGAAGGGTGAGCTGGGCCTTAAAACTTCATTGTCTGGTTCTAGATCCTGAGTTCCCTCTACTATAGTGTGCTGCTTGCTTCCCAAGTTGGCTAGATTTCTTAAATTATCCAAGGGCTCCCCATTGCCTTCAAGATGAAGTCTAAACTTCTTGGCATGGTAAATGAGACTTCACAACTTGTCTCTGGCCTGCATTTCCAGCTTTATGCTCAAATACTGACCTTTGCTGTTTCTGTGCAACCATTTACTAGATAGATGTCAAAGAGAGAAGAAGTCAAGGTAGGTAGAGATAAACAGAAGAAATGAACACCTGCTTCATTTGACATGCCCCAACGCTGTTACTTCTATTTGACTTACTATATATGATTATATACAAGAGATTATACATAAATCTATGGGAGTTGAATTTCTTTTTCTTTTTCTTTTTTTTCTTTTGTGAGACAGAGTCTTATTACTTCGCCCTTGGTAGAGTGCTGTGACATCACAGCTCACAGCAACCTCAAACTCTTGGGCTTAAGCAATTCTCTTGCCTCAGCTGCCCAAGTAACTGGGACTACAGGCACCTGCCACAATGCCCGGCTATTTTTTGTTGCAGTTGTCGTTGTTTGGCAGGCTTGGGCTGGGTTTGAACCCACCAGCCTTAGTGTATGTGTCTGCACTCTACTCACTGAGCTATAGGCGCTGACCCATCTATGGGAGTTAGTAATCATCATAATAAGCATCTATGTTTGAGCCCATGACTCAAGAATTAAACCATTGTCAACACTAGCAGATCCCTGTGTGCCCCTCCTTTTTTTCTGTAGAACAGGGTGGGTTTTGCCACATGCTGCCTTGTCTGCTGCTCCTCTCCCTGCCTCTATACAGAAGGCTGTCAGTGAGAGGATTCTCTTCACCTTTCACTAAGATTGCCATCTGGCTTTGTTCTGTGCATTTGACTCTGTTCTGGGATTTGCTGGTGAAAGTTTGGGTGACGAGTGGGATCTCTATCCCTTGCAGGTCAGGCTGGGAAGCTGATGTATGTGATGCACAACTCAGAGTACCCATTGAGCTGTTTTGCCCTCTTCGAAAATGGCCCCTGCCTTATTGCCGACACCAACTTTGATGTGCTCATGGTGAAGCTTAAGGGCTTTTTCCAGAGTGCTAAGGCCAGCAAGATTGAGACTCGGGGCACCCGTTACCAGTACTGTGACTTCCTGGTGAAGGTGGGCACAGTTACAATGGGGCCCAGTGCCCGGGGCATCTCTGTGGAGGTAAGACCTTGGTGAAACAGGAGCAGGACGTGCTGAGAGGGCTACTGAACAGAGGGCTCTGAAGATTGCCCAATTCAAATGGATATTTATGTCAGCCTTGTCCCTAACTCCAAAGCATCTGTTTTTCCTCTGACTCTTACCATTCCTTTACTCATTCAGAGAATTGCTTGCTTGTATGGGAAGGAGGAAGTAGGGGCTGGGTTTATAGTAAGTAGAAAGCTTAGGAAGGCTGGCTTGCTGGAGAAGGGAAGGATAGTCAAGGAAGGCAGGTGACGTGTGGAGGGACCAGTCACCCATCCCAAGAAAGACTGGAACAGACCAGGACAACTTTTGGAGCAACTTTTGGGAGGTGGGCCCTAAATCATATGTGTCTATGCACCTCTCCTTAGTATGCGTTAGATAAGTCTCCAAGTTGTGGAGCAAAAATGTGCCTTGCCTTTTGATATGCTATCTACTTTCTTTCATGGTGGAAAGGGTTGTGTGAGAAATGACTTCATTTTGTGAGCCTAAATATATGAGGTCTGACAATTAAGTTCATAAACTCATCCTAGAAAAGGTACTGCATACCTCATTGCTGATTATCATTATGGTCACCTTTGAAGTACTTCCCTTGAGAAGCTATGCACTGATGCCAGTGCCTAGTCTACCTTCAAAGTACTTTTTCTAAGATGAGTTCACTAAATTATCATACCTCAAGATGACAGTTCTGATGGCCGTTCCAGAAAAAGAGTTCCAAAATTTTCCAGTGCTGAGATAAAAATACTAGTAGCTTCCAGGGACTGCCTTTTGAAAATTTGTGATTTATTAAGAGACAAGAATATTAACTATTTTTGAAGTTAATCTAAGAAATGCCATAAAAGAGGCAGTTTGTAGCTTGGCACAGTGGCTTATAACCTGTAATCTCAGGGCTCTGGGAGGCTAAGGCGGGAGGATCTCTTTAGGCCAGGAATTTGAGACCAGTCTGGGCAACATAGCAAGACTTTGTCTCTAAAATAAATGTTAAAAATTAGCCAGGCATGATGGCTTATGCCTAAAGTCCCCATTTCCTGGGAGGCTGAGGTGGGAGGATTGCTTGAGCCTAGGAGTTCAAGGTTATAGTGACCTGTGACCAGGCCATTGTACTGGGTGACAGAGGCACTATCTCTTAAAAAAAAAAAAAGGTTGGATAGGGAGGCAGTTTTAGGCCAGCAACTTTGGTTATGATACTTCTTAGAGGATCAACATTTAAATAGGGACTTAGACATGGGAATAGGTAAGTCCAGAAAGTAGAAAAAGGGCCCTGGTGATTTCTGCGTGGCAACCTCTGGGGCTGAGATTTTCTAAACCTTTTCAGCTTGTACATGTTGTACTTACTGAGACCTACTGGGGACCCACTATTTATACTGCACATTTCCAACCCTTATAGTATAAACACACACCAGCTGTTTCTTTATTTCTCCTTACAGTCACCAGTAATTTCCTCCTGCTGTCTCTCCAGTGGAAAATTAGGAGAGAGGGATGAGAAAGTAGGATGTATATTTTTTTGGCCCTTGCCACGTTGGTTGGGGAAATCTTAGGGTCAGAGCCCAGGCTGGGTCTGCCTTGGCAGTAGTGTTTGGTCCTGAAGAGACTCATGTGTCTCTTCTGTCCTCCACTTAACCACCTTCACCCCATACCGACCACATATTTTCTTCTCTCTGTTTTCTCTCTTAGACGTTTCCTGAGCTCTCCTTGAATCCTTACCCTACATAGCAGAGAACTACACAGACCTAAGATAATCAAATGGGGCCTGGCTTGGCACCCATAGCACATTGGTTACTGCACTGGCCACATATACCAAGACTGGTCGTTTCGAACCTGGCCTGGGCCTGTTAAAACAACAATGACAACTGCAACAAAAAAATAGCTGGGTGTTGTGGTGGGTGCTTGTAGTCCCAGCTGCTTGGAAGGCTGAGGCAAGAAAATTGCTTAAGCCCAAGAGTTGGAGGTTGCTGTGAGCTCTGACCCCACGACACTCTATTGATAGAGTGACAAGTAAGACTCTATCTCAAAAAAAAAAAAAAA